TGTAGGCTTGACACATGGTTCTTCTTCCTAGGGCAAGTTACTTAATTGCTCAACAGTCTCTTCCTCTGTAAAATGGGCCTAATAATATTCCCTGCCCCTCACGGCTGTTGTAAGGATTGAATAAGATAACGTGCATAAAGCACTTAGCAGAGTGCCTGGTACACTGTCCGCGGAAGTCAGTTAACTCATTATTTTGCAAGCATCAGCACTATAAAGCTTAATTACTTCCCCAATATTGCCATCGATACATTATGTTCAGCTTCTGTGTTTGTTTAACATCCAATAAACGATGTCTTAGGGATGTCCACGTGCCTCTAAAGCATTTCCCTCTGCCACAGGTCACTGGTTTCCTGGGCAGATTCTGTACCGTACCCAACGTCAAACTGCTTAATGAGGAGAAACATCAGAGCCGGCCGAGGCTCCTAGCTCCTCAGTTAGGTACCTGAGTAGCTCCATAGCCTGGACTACGTAAAGGGTGTTCTAAAACCTCGCCAATACACTCAGTGGAAGTTAAATAAACAAACAAGAATATTGGGGCAAGAATATTCATGTACATCATTATCTGTCCTTGTTCTCCATGACAGCTTTGCAAGTAATACCAGTCTCATCTGACTGATGTGTAAACTAAGTCTCCGAGAAGTCAAAAGAATAGCCAAGGTCTGGGGCGCCTGGGTGTCTCAGTGGGTTAAAGCCTCTGCCTTCAGCTCAGGTCATGATCCCAGAGTCCTGGGATAGAGCCCCACATCGGGCTCTCTGCTCAGCAGGGAGCCTGCTTCCTCCTCTCTCTCTCTCTCTCTCTGCCTGCCTCTCTGCCTACTTGTGATCTCTGTCAAATAAATAAATAAAATCTTTTAAAAAAGAAAAAGAATAGCCAAGGTCACTCTGCTAGTTAGTGGCTGGCCAACAACTCAAACACAGGTCTTCTGACTCTTAAACAGCATCTCACACAAATAAAAAGCACTCCCCCCACCACAAGAACATTTCTTTTTTTCTTTAAGATTTTATTTTAAGTAATCTCTATGCCCAAAGTGGGGCTCGAATTTATATGCTTGGGATTGAGAGTCGCACGCTCCACCAACTGAGCCAGCCAGGTGCCCCTACACAGAAATATTTAAAAGGCAGAAGCTGTCTACTTTAAAAATAAAAAAATAAGAAATGCAAAATGTATCCAATATACAAAATGCAAACAGACTTCTTTTCCGTATAGGGGACATTGAATTCTTTTTGCACAAGATGCAGTTGTAATTTTACATTTGTTTGTATTACTTGATTAAGGTCTGTCCGCCACTACACCAAAACGGACTACATCCATTTTCATCTAACATGTTGTAGGTGACCAATATGAACTTGATGAATAAATGAATGATCCCCTGGTGTTGATCATAGCTAGAACGGAGGTCACAGGCATGTAATTGAATTTAGCCTTTGTTTTAGGCAGGAGTAGAAATATTAGAGGTATCTTACACAGAAACACTGAAGATGGGAAAAGAAATTAATTTTTAGTTGCTGGAAAGGATGAATTTGCTTGTACTGGACTTAGTGATTGAGCTAAAAGGCAGGACCAATCCAAGCAGAGCAGATGGAGTTGTTTACAAGGTGAAGTCTAGATACCATTTTAATTCTACAAAAAAGAATGGAAGGCAGCTTCTTAATGTGTGATCCTCAACAGATCTGCATCAGAATATCTGGGAAGATTAAGAAGGCATCTTCCTGAACCCACTACAGCATCCCAGGGCTGGGGTGGGGGGCTGGTGCCAAAAATTTCTGCATTTTTCACAAGCTCCCCAGGTAATTCTCACTTCCAAATTTTGAGAATTGCTGGGCTGGAATCACAATAGACCTGCAGCAGGTCTAAGACTCTGACTAGGGAAAAGTCTGCATTGTAAGGTAAGAAGAAGGGAAACCTTCCAGGAACAGACTGGAAGCACGGCCAGAGAGCAGGAGTCATGAGTCTCCATTAAGGGCCAAAGAAGGTGACAGTTTAGGAATAAGGAAACTTCCCAAAGTGTCAAATGTCACAGAGATGTCAGGAATGAAGATGGAGAAAAGTTGTGAAGATGGAATCCAGATTTTTCTGGGCCTGGACCTGTCCTTCAAGATCCAACTCAAAACATTTCCTCCCCAAGGATGTATTTCCTGCTCCGCTGGACAGAGCCCGTCAATCTTCGTAGTATGTAATTCCATTAGAACATTTTGTCTCTTGTACTGAAATTCGGTTTTTCTTCCTCGTTAGAAATACCAGGTTTTCATCCTCATTAGACTGAGAATTCCTTGAAGGCAGGAGCTATTTCTTATTTCTTTTCAAATCTCCAGTGTCTGCCATAGTACCTGGCTTACACAGAATATGTGTGCCCACCGAACGTGTGATTGGGAAGGAATCGGAGGCTGAGAACACAGTCTGGGAGTGAAGGTAGCAGAATCTTAAGTGTTTGAGGGCAAACGAGAGAAGCGAATAAGGAAAGAAGCAGTTCGTCTAGAGCATGGAAGAGATGTGATTAAAACCACAGCCTTAGCTTTAAAAAGCTGGAAGGACAATTCTTTCTGAGTTTTGAAGGAAGCGATGAAGGGTGGGTGTTCAAGGCAAAGTCACTTAGCTCAGATGGCCCAACTCTAAGTATGTCAGGAAGTTAAGGCCTTTGCTGAGAATGAGGTCCAGAAAGTGGGATCTAGAGCCCTGAAGAGGGACTGGAAGAGTGTCAGTGGGAGCGTGCTGGTGGATCCATAAGAGATGAAGAGATCCTCTTCTATATCCTCAGGCATTGTTAATAGCGTGCTATCGCAATCTGACTCTTTTCTGTAGCCCTTGAAATGACAGGCTGCATCTATCTAGTCATGCTAGAACTGGCTAGCAGACCTGGGGCCTGAAACTCACTAGGGTTGCTGAGCTCTTCCTCTCTGGAACATTTCCTGCACTTTCTTTCCACCTCTTAAGGCACGTGCTGCAGTCCATCTCCTATCATAGCCATTTGTTTTTTTCCTTGTTAGATGGTAAATAGTTGAGGGCAAAGGCTGTGTCTAATTCACTGTTGTGTTGTACCTTCGCATAGCGCTTTGTATGTGGTAGGTGGAGGATGGCTGTACCAGGCACACACCTTTCTATAGCATTTATTTCACCATAACCTATTTGTTTGCTTCTTTGTCTCCCTTTTTAGACCATGAACTTGAGGTTAGGGATTGAGTTGATCTGTGTCTCTTTTGTGTTTGAAACTTAGTAGCTTCTGGGCGCCTGGGTGGCTCCGTGGGTTAAAGCCTCTGCCTTTGGCTCAGGTCATGATCTCAGGGTCCTGGGATCGAGCCCCGCATCGGGCTCTCTGCTCCGCGGGGAGTCTGCTTCCTCCTCTCTCTGCCTGCCTCTCTGCCTACTTGTGATTTCTATCTGTCAAATAAATAAATAAAATTTTTTAAAAAAGAAACTTAGTAGTTTCGCAGATATGTATTCAGTAAAATCTTTGAAATGAGTGCATTAATGAAAGAATGATAGCAAAATGCCAGGATTCTGGGGGAGGGATCTAAAAAGAGGACATACTGCACAGGCACTACATTTTGTCACTTTCACAATCATCAGTCTCATTCTGACACCAGTAGGTGTGTAAAGCTGGTGAAAATAATGCTGGGGGACCTGTTTACAAATACTGTTAGTGTTTGGAACACACATTCTGGATCTTATGTAAATTGCCAGCCTCTCCCTTTCACTGTAGAGGGCCTGAGTAAAAGGGCTAAGGGTCCCGTGCAGCTAAAAAACTCCTTTGTCCAACCTTATTTGATACCTGTTTGTATGGGATACAATGTTACATGAACATGGTTACTGTTTTCTTTAGGATTACAATTTAACGTTGACATTGCAGGGAAAAATAAAAAGAATGATGAAACAGCATAGTAACAACATTGGATCGCAACAATGGAAATCCACCACGCCCCCCTCCCCCCTTTTACAGGAAAAATCGCTACATAAAAGACATCTTTAAATTTTCACCGGTTTGTTAGGGCTTTTTTTTTTTTTTTTAAACCACTGGCGTTTAGTCTGTGAGTGTAAAAGAAAATAACAAAAGCTGACCCTCGCAAAGGGCATACTATGTGCCCCAAGTGTTATTCTACATGATTTACATGTATTAACTCATTTCTCTTACAGCTCTATGAGACGGTTACCATTGTGATCTCCATTTTGGACGTGCTGAAACTGAGGGACAGAGAGGTAATGCAACGTGCTCAAGGTCACAGAACTAGAAGTGGGGGAGCTGGGATTCAAACCCAAGCAGTCAGGCTCCATACATCAAAAAGGAAAGCGCTCGGTGAGCTGTAGCGTTTACCTATGTTGAGTTACAAAGGAAATCACTTATCTTTCTCTGATTATGATAATCTCCGCATTTATAGAGGGCCTGTTATATGCGAGGGACGCTCATACACGCTTAACTTGCATTATCTCATTTCTTCTTCACAATAAACCCGTGAGATCCTATTTTTAATCCCCATCTTAGAGACAAAAAAAATATTATTCAGGTACAGAGATGAAAATGATCTGCCCGACGACTGAAATCCGGGCCGACTGACTCCACTACGAGCTTCTCAGTCTCTCCTGGCAGTAAGATGAGAGAACGGAGGACCTCAAAGGGATGCCACGAGAGTACAATGAAATAATGGATGTGAAAAGGCCTCGGTGAACAAGTGCAAGGATCAGGCCTACCCACTTCAATCACTGTTGAAAACTGGCTACCCAGGGCCCCTGTCCAGTGGTTTCTAGTCCCAACCCTGCACCTTCCCCGTCCGACCCACAGCGATATCTTTGAACCTCTTTCTCTATCTCCTCGGCTCCAGCCCCCAAACACTTGGCTGAGCGGCGGACCGGAGAATAGAAGGTACGCGCGCGAGCAGGAGGCGGAGCTTGCCGCCCCGATCTGTCCTGGGGGGTGGCCTCCGCACATGCGCCGTGGTTCTGCGGCTTCAGTTGCCCGGCCGTGCAGCCAATCGGGGCCCGCGGCGCGCTCGGGACGTATTAACGCTATGTTGAGTCGTTGCGTGCGAGGGGGGCGACGTAAGGGCGCTCGGCGAGCCCGTCTCTCCTCGAATGAAAGGAAACAACCTCCGGCGACAGAGCCCCGCTCCCAGGCGCTGCCGGAGAACCGACACCGACTTCTTTCTCTTTCCCCTCATTGGCGCTTCTCCGCTGCCGTTCGCCTCCGGGCCCCGCCGGTGAGTCCCCCCGGTAGCTTGGGGCCCCCCATTCTCTGCCCGGCGGGAGAAGACAAGGAGGATGGCGGTGGCCAGGCCGCCGCCCCTGCCCGTTGTTAAGGGGGACTCTTGGTGGTCTCGCTTTATTGTCAAGGACCCCCGAAGCGCCGCTCGTTGAAGGCGCTTGGCGAAGAGGCTGCTGAGAAAAGTGCTTTGGGGGAGCTAAGGGAGAGGTTAGGCTTAAGCCTAGACTTCGGGGGAGGGGGCGCAGCATTTAGGGAGGAAAAAATACTGGGAATTTTTAGTCTTTGCCATCGCTTAGGACATATTTGGGAAGGAGGGAGACTCCCAGTTTGGGAAGCTTAAGAGGAAGAATGGTTAGGATGGCAAGAGGGTTAGCTTTACGGAATGAGAAAAAACTCTGGGGTGGGGGGAATTAGGGGCGAAACTGAGATCTGAAACGGAGACTGTTTGAGGGCGAACTCCTGGGGAAGGAGGGTTAAAGAAAGTGGTGGGATATTTGCCTGGATTCGGGAGGATTGGAAAAGGACGATTAGGGGACCCTGACTTGCCGACCGCAAGGACCTGCTAAAGTGTTTTAGAGGAAGATAGTTTTGCGAGTTCATCTAGCGCTTGATTAGAGGGAGGTCGTGGAGTCTAGTGTGTATTGAGGAATAAATAACGGGGAGAGGACCCGGTACATTATGTGTACCATCCTTTATTATATGGACGAACAGCACGGCATTCTTTTGAAATTTGTTCGTTTCGATATCCTGCGTGGAAGTTGAAAAATCCTTTATTTTTGAAAACCCTTTTCTTTTCATCGGCTTACCGCGTAATATCAGGTCTTATTCATACAGTTCAAATTCTTTCTTACCCTTGGGTTTGAAACAACTGGAAAATTCCTTCAGTTTCCTTTTGAATAACCGCAAAAAGCAGTGCGAAAGCATGTAATAATATCGTGCAACCAAATTCAGGTGCCCTTCCGGTTCATCTCTTATTCGTTTATTTCTCTCCGCTCTAACTTTCCTGACAGAAATACTGCTTCTTTGAGGATCACGTTTATGTATTCTGAACTGTGTATTTCAGCTTGATTGCGTGCGGAATTGTTTGATCTTCCGGAACTGCAGTTTTTGTTTTGTTTTTCTGTGAAAATGGTCTTTCAGATACGAGACATTGAATGAGCTCTCGACTTGGTTCTTCAATGCTCTCCTTGATGTTTCAGGTTATTTCTACCTTGGTTCTTTACAGCATCTTGTAAAATCAGGAACGCATTGATGGCTTCAGCCTAACTAATCGAGCTTTTATATTTTGCCAGATATTTAAATGTTTTTCATGCCGATACCTTTGCTTTTTTATTTTTGCTTTATAACGCTGTCCGTGATACTCTGTTTCTTTTAAGGAAAAGGTTTCATTGTTGGGTGAAAGCATCAAAGTTGGATCTCTGCATGCGCTGAAAAACGTTTTAGACTGAAATTAAAAGGCCATATTGCTGTGTGGATCATTATGAATCTCTTAATATTGGTCCTTGGAATGCCCTTATTCTCCCTAACTAGAGACCACAAATGAGGCAGCATTAGATAAAAATCTGTATTTTTATGATAAAGACATTTTTGTTAGGAGTCATTGTTTCCATGATGTTCCCCACTTCATGTTTCACTAGGAGGCTGTAAAAAATTAGCAAGATATGCACAGATGCATTATTTGAATTTTAGTGGAAAACTCCATTTAGTCATTGTACATTGGGGAAAGTTTTTAATTGGTTTGATGCACTTTTTTTTGTGTTTCTGTTAACTTTACCAATTTATACTGATTAAGACACTAGCATATTTTTGAATGTAAAATAAAGCATACCTTTTTTCTCTCTTAGATTTTTGGGTCTTTGATATCTGGGAAAGAAAAATTCTCAAAATTAGGAGGAGAAATATACCTGTTTATAAATTCAAAGAGGCAGAATTCAATACAGATCGAATCTGAGGGACACCATTTGCAGGATTAATTTCAAGAATAAAAAGTGCTTTTCTACTCCAGGACTTTTTAAAAAACCTTAAACTGGTTTTATACCGTATGCTAGGATTGAACAGAAATTACACATTAAAGATGTCTGTACATATTAGATTCATAATGTGCCATCCTTTGAACTGGCCAAGGATGAACCAGGAGAAATGCTGAATGCATTACAGTGGTTTCAGAGTGCCTACTCTTCATTGCATAGTAGTAAAGAAAGCTAATTTAGAACTCACATAGCAAATTTTAGTGCTATTTGTGAATTTTGGTGTTTCGCATGGTTAATTCTAAAGATTTGGCAGCTATACTCTTGATAAAGCAACTGAACACATATTTGCCTGTACAAATGCAAACACACTTCCCCTTTTGTTTCTTTTGTTTCTCTGTTCATGTCTTTTTTTCTTTAATCCTAAAAGTATTTGCTGCCTGTTTTCAATCAGTTTCATGGTTTATAGCCAGTGCTATGAATACAGTACTGTTGTAAAGTATCCGATGCCATTTGGAAGACTGAGGTATTTAAAATTGTCGATAGCATTAAGAGTTTGTTAAACCCATCAATGCGGAGACTGCCAAGGCCTAGGTATAAATTGATTAAAAAAAAAAAAAAGACCTGTTTCTTTGTGGCTTCACCTTAAATTGTAATCCCGTGTCTGCATTTTTATAATGTAAAATCCTGGCTTACAGCTTCCACCTTGCTGGCATCCAGCAGCTACTGTTCGTGATGGGGAGTAAGTGCCTCTCAGAGAGCTACAAGGTAGCAGCATTAGTGAGTCCAGTTCTCAACATAGTATCATGAAAGCATTTGAGTATACAGAAAAATGGGAAGAATTTCGGGAGATTTTAAGACAAAAATTGGAGATGTTATTGATTGTGTTGTGTGTGGTAGCAGCCTGGATCCTGAACTGCTTCGGTTGGTCGATTTGGGAAAACCACACAAGTCTCATCACTGATTTTACACTTGTTTAGATTCTTAAGAATCCCTGTTGAGATTGATGATCTAAATCTGACACCGTCTATGTCAGAGCTTTTCTCCCCCACCCCCCCTTTTTTGGGGGGGTTTGACTCTGCTACCTATAATTATAACTTGACTAAATTTAAGGGTCATTCAGAAAAATTTTCCTTCCTTTTAGACAATATTGCTGATTTAATGTGGAAGTTACTACATTTAGAACACCACGGTCAGTTTGTAGCTTTAATTTGATAAGTAAGCTTGTGGAGTAAGCCCCAGAGTCAGATAATATAGTTTGTTAAAAATAAATAATTGATTTCTAAAGTATATTTTTTGGAATAGATTGTTATAAGCTTAATTTTTTTCTTTACTCTAAAAAGGACTACAATAGCAAAACTTGTTAAGGATGTATACATGATTTTTTTTTTTTACTTAAAAATAATTCAGATTTTTTAAAGTGAGTGTTCCAGAGTCACGGTTAAGTGCATTCATTTGTCTTTTGTTGGTTTATCACTATGTGAACTTTAAGGAATTGTGCAATTTTAGAATTCTGTTCACTCTGGATATTGTGTCCTTCTCTTAGAAGTTTCTGCTCTGCTCTTAGATACATAATTCTTTGTCTCCTTGAAGAGGCATCTAGCTATATTTTAAAAATATTTTATATTAATTATGTCAGCAGATGGTTGTTTTAGTATCACACACTGTACATTTTTTTATCGATCCACACAGAAATCTTTTTAATTATTTCACATATCCCCTAATTTGGAAGCAGTTTGATTTTCCTGAATTATTTCATTACCTTGTTTTTATGCATACGTTCATTTTTTTTTTCATTACAGAAACGTTGTAGGTTTTAATATTAATTTGTCTATACGAAATAGCCATTTAAAAATGCATATGTTAAAACTTAGGTTAAATATTAAACAACTTACATGACTGTGCAAATGGGTATTAAAGTGAAATTAACCATTTTGTTGCCCTTCTTATTCTCTGTAGCATTTCTTGAGGCTTAAAGTGGCATTCTAAAAGCAATTTAAAAATCATGTCAAGCTCAGTTGAACAGAAAAAGGGGCCTACAAGACAGCGCAAATGTGGCTTTTGTAAGTCAAATAGAGACAAGGAATGTGGACAGTTACTAATATCTGAAAACCAGAAGGTGGCAGCACACCATAAGTGCATGGTAAGTATAGGCTGGCAACCGAGACACCTGAAACCATGAGAATCCTGACAATGAATATTTCCGAATACGAAAAAACTCAGTTAAATTTTTAAAGAGATGGTTTCTCACGAATGCTATGCCATTTTTACTAGAAAATTTCCTTGTAAAGTTAACATCTTATTCACTGTTTCACTGCAATTTCTTTAAATGTGAACCTTAATTTTTTTTAAATGTAATTTGTAGCTCTTTTCATCTGCTTTGGTATCATCACACTCTGATAACGAAAGTCTTGGTGGATTTTCTATTGAAGATGTCCAAAAGGAAATTAAAAGAGGCACAAAGCTGGTAAGTTGGTATTTCTGCCTCTTGAGAATAAAACTTATTGTAAGCTCATTAAAGAGGAAATTGCTTAGTTTACAGTGTATTGCTTTATTAACATTATGATTTTAAATTGCAGTCTTTTTTTTTCACCCCCTGAACCAGAAATTCCAAGGTTCGGCTTAACTTGTTTACCACTCAACAAAAAAGGAGTGAATCAATATTTATATTATTCAAATTTTTTTTCCCTTTTCAAAAAGAGTCAAAATGTTCTTGGAGGCTGTGTTGACTCAAAAAAAAACAAGCAGTTTGCTTAATTTGAATATATCATGTGTTGAAGTCTTCATTCAAAATTTTCATGAATCCGATGTTTTTTCATCTTCCATCATAAAGTCATTGTGGTCATCATAAATGAGGATGACCCTACCCTTTCAGCAGGAATATGTTAGCACTTGCTGTATTTGACTGTGGTTCAGCTATATAACCCCGCATTTATAACTTAGTATCACTTTTGATGGATTTCACTCTTTGTCTGAAGCTCTGTTACACTGAATGGTCCTATAATCGTCTTCTACCAGCAACCAGGTGGGCAGGATACTATGTTGCTCTGTTGGAAAAGTAACCTCATCTCAGTTGGCGTTTATGATCCATTATGGTTTACGTCGAAACAATGTCTCTTCATTTGGTTATGATTTTTCCCTTTGAAACCTTTGTTGAAATTATGTCTGCAAATGTGCCTTCAGTAGCTTCACTGTTAAGTGCTGCATTATTTTAAAGGTGGGCTTGGCAGAACACAAAGCCGTGTTCTTCAGCACTGGATGATCTCATGTTTCACAAAGAATTTGAGGAGCAGAGCTAGGAACTGTCATGTCGATGACCAGGAATAACCTATTTTTTTGAAGTTGTCAGTCTGGTAGTAGTAGGGAAAAAAAGAAGCAATATGAAGAAGTTCAAGGATTTGAGACTTGCTTTAGGATAAATAGTCTAAAACTCTAGAATCAGTATTGGCACAAATGGGAATTCAGAGGCCAGTTTTTGTGGTAGTGAGACCTTAACTGAAAGTATTTCTCCCCCCCCCCAAAACTGTAGTAACAATAAAATGCTTCATTTTTTTTTTTGAATGCTTCATTTTTTTTAGTGTGATTTTTATTTGGTGGTTTCAGAATTCTTCCATGTTTTTATGGCTTGCTGATTTTTGAGAACCAGAGCAGTATGTTTTTATTTTCTAGTCCTTAAAAACAAATTCAGAGGTAAAGAAAGAATACTACTTACCTGAAAGTGGTTGTACTGTAAACCTCATCACCCCATCATTTATTCCCTGGCATTATGCATATGCCTGGAAATGCGTCTGCATCCTGAGTCGTTAGCATTTTTGTCACTTGGCATGGCTGCTCTGGTCCGAACGGGAGCAGTTTTGGTCTCTGATGTTACTTATTATTAACGAACGCAGTGCCTGGTTTTACATGAAGCAGCGGTGTACATCTGGCAGTGTTGGTAAATCCAGCGGGCGTTTCATTTATTTGGACGTGTTTGTGAAGACAGCATCAGAACTTTGTACAAGCTTCACTAATATAAATTGTTTTGATTAATTTTTAATGGTATGGTGGGGGGAATTAATTTTTTCCCAAGTGTAGTGAGTTATAAAGAATTAAATTTGTCCCTTGATCTAGGGAGTGGAAGAAGATTGGAGGTGCAGACCACAAGCTATAGTAAGTAACAGACTTGGATGTGACTCCTAGCTCTGTCACTGACTAGCTGGAAGACCCCGGGCAAGTCATCTACTTCTCTGTGCCATGTTTTTCCTCCCCTGCTAAAAGGAGATAGTGACAGGACTTGTCTCACAGGGCTATTGTGAGAATTAAAAGAGAGGCTGGGCAGGACTTAGCATGGTGCCTAGCACGTGGTTAGGACTTGATAAATGCTAGCTACCACTGTAGTTATTGTTTATAGATAATAATATCCTGCTGATGTCATTGTAGGCTAATGAAAAGCACGCTGGGCTGGGAAAATCATGAGGCCTTTTTTTTTTTTTTTAAATAACTCTACCACTGACACATTATGTAACTTTAGCTAGGTCGTTAACTTATTTGTCTTTTTGCCAGTGGTAAAAAGATAATGCTGTATCACCACTTATTAAACAGCGATGTCCCATGGCTAACCAGTTCTATAAAAGACAGAAAGAGTTACCCTAGGAAAGGTGTTTTAAAAAGCTGTTTTGAGGCTATGGGCATCTAGTAGTAAGGAATAGGGTCAAAAGGAAAGAACTCTTGAGCCTACTACATAGTTTTGCTTCTTTCCCTTCTCCCAGCTGTCAGAATTTAAATCAGTTACATAGGGGCTAGGGCTAGAGCAGCATTCATATATTTAACTTTGACTTCTAGGTGAAAAGTAGGTCATGAATACCTGTCGAAAATAAACAGGAGTGCTGGTCCCCGGGTGCTTTCAAGTCAGGTTCCAGGCTATACCTGCTGTTGGCTTAAGATAGGTGCCCACTCGCCCCAAAGAAAAGTAAAGAGAAAAGAGACTGGGGCTTGTGGTGAAAGTGTTGAGGTAACCAGATGGGTCAGAGTCTTGAGAGAGTGAGAGGTCACAGAACAGGAGGTACAGGTATATGGTTTCTTTCTTCTTACTGCCACAGGCAGTTTTCGGAGGTTTTCGTGTCAGTTGCAAAGATCAGGGGAGGAAAGTTATTCTGTGTGAGGAAATTCATCTCTTTTGCATTACCTTTGGGCTCCAAGGTGGACCAGGAAGAATTTGCCAGGGTACTAAGGATTTTATCATTTGAGTCTTTGTTTTTGCAGTTAAGACAGATACGTATTTTTCCAGAGTGGTTTCCAGTTTCTTTTGCAGCCATATGGAGACGCCACATCTGTACCATCTACTCTTAATTCTCCAGCCATCTAGCCAAGAAATGTGAATTTCCAAGTAAAATTATATGAATCATCATCACCGTTTTCATTTTCTTTAAGGAGATACTTGGGAGGAGTATATTTGAAGAACATACTCTTTCTGGATGAAGCTAGGTGGTGAAACCATTAGCAGTATCTACGCTGGATAATAGTTACTATTGGAAGTGGTAACTCTCAGATGTATCACTCTGAGAACAGGAGTTCAGAGGCCGTTTGGTTCACCTTCCCCACCCCCTATGCAAGGCTGCCTCCAAGCCATCCAACATAAGATTTTCATCTCTGCTATTCTTAAATATATCCAGAGGTGGTGCTTCTACCCAAGCAGCTTGAATCATGACCATAGTTATATGACACTCTTCAGAATTGAGAAATTCGTCCTCCTTTATAATTTAATTATCTCGCTTAATGTAAGCCATTAATTCTAGGTCTCTCTCCTTCCATTAAAGGAAAGATTTGGGTTTTTTCTTTAATAAAACTGGAAAATCTTTCATATACTTGATGAGTATACTCAGGTCACTCCTAAACTTTCCCCTTTTTGGACTAAATTTTATAGGTCTAAAGAAATCCTCTGAACATTTTTCCTGTTTTTTTTCCCCCAATAGTAGAAATAGCTAACATTTACTGAACACTTAATATGGTGGCAGAGTACTTTAAATACAGGATTCTTTATAATCCTTACCATCATAATGTGAAATGGGAAGTTTTAATTCTCCCTTTAGGGATGAGGAAGCTGAGGCCGGCGACGTAAGCTGACTAAGGTCCTATTACTAGTAAATGGCAGAGCTGCCATTTGACTTCAGAGCCAGTGGACTGCACAGCTAGAATCTTGATCGCCTCAGGTTATACTAGACTGCCTTTTAAGCCACCCAACCCCAAATCAGATTTTAAACAAATGTAAATATTAGAGCTTAGTAGTTTTTTTAAACAAATATGGAAATACTACTGGATTTAGGATATAATCAGATACCTTTTCATATGTATTAATACATTGTTTTTAGGACAGAAATCTTATATAGGTACTAGGTAAGAATATTCTGATTGTTCGCTATCCTCAAGATATTTTTTGTGGCCTCTAAAAATGGGAAGACCAATTTGATATGGTTCCAGTGGAGTGCTGGGTGCCCTATAGAAATGGGTATCTAATTTTGAGAGTTTATGATTTAAATATTGGGTATGCCATGAATCTGCATATAGGACAATTCATAGATACAACTTTTTATTCTGTGTGGGAGGAGGCTTGCCTATTTAGGTAAGACTGCCTCCTAGAGATGGTGAAGTTTAAAAAAAGGGGACGGGGATGAGTCCAGAAAATAGGTTAATACCAGGATGGGTCACTGAGACCTGCAGTAATGGAATCGAGTTGAGTAAGGTGGGATAATGGCAGGTTCTTTAAACCGTAGGCAGGAATTTCACCTTGGGTAGGAGGGGATGGGGATGGGCAAAGCAGTTTTCAGGAGAAAAGGGATGTACAGTAGTCACTGTGGAGAATGAAATAATCATGGAAGCATGTTTGTCTGCTGTATATAGATGTCCCGCAGCAGCGTCTTAAAACTCAGCCTGTCTGAACCATTATTCATCATCTGCCCTGCCCTGAACCCTGAGTCTTTTTCGGAATCCTTTACCTTCAACTCTTCCTTCTTACGTATCTGTCACACTGGTTCTCCTTCTGGGGTGTCTCTGCTATCTTTTCTTTTCTTTTTCTTTTTTTTTTTAAAGATTTTATTTATTTATTTGACAGAGATCACAAGTAGGGAGAGAGGAGGAAGTAGGCTCCCCGCTGAGCAGAGAGCCTGATGCAGGAATCGATCCCAGGACCCTGAGATCATGACCTGAGCTGAAGGCAGAGGCTTAACCCACTGAGCCACCCAGGCGCACATCTGCTATCTTTTCTTTTGCAGTGCTACCCTGTACCTAGTCTTCCTTTTCCCATCCTTCCAACATACTGCTGCTAACTACTGGATCTCTACTTCCCTGACTTCGAACTTTCACTGATGCCTTCATGTATACAAAATCATACCCAGAGGCTGCCCTTCAGAAGTCATAACTTACCTTTTCCATTCTTGATCTCATTCTCTCTCCTCTTGGTTTTCCAAACATCCTCTGTGTGTCCCTACTGCG